GAAAGCTTCATTGCTTCATGAGGCTTCACTTGCCCATCACTACTATCCCAAACCCTGAAGCAGGTAGGACTAGGAGCGTTCAACCAGTGGCGGCTGGCCAATAGAGGGCGTTGCCCCACCAGCTCAATGACCTTTTTAAAATCCAAAGATATGGAATCACTTAAAACAATCCAAGGGTAGGGTGAGACCGTACTAACCGGTAGATGGATGTTGTGTCGTGCTCCAGGCCTGGGTACAGGGCTGGGTTGTCTCTCTCTCTTCTCTGCAGGCGTGGCGAGCAGGTGCTCCTCATCACTGCTGATTACATTCCTTCTTAAGGAGCAGAGACCAGGAGGAGGACCAACATGACCAAAATACCTTATTTCCGAGTTTCCTCCGTGCCAGACCTAATACTGTGTCTCTTTAGAACACAGTATTAGGTATTATTTCCCTTAGACCAGTGACCCTAACTTCACTTTAGCTCTTAATAAGGTTTAGTAAATATTACAGATGTGTGAAGATCTTAAAAGTTTAAACACAAGGAAGAAAAATGCATCATTTTAGATTGTATTGCTGGTAGTGGTTAGAATTGCAGCAGAGATACGGTTTTGGTTTGATGGAGTTTGTCATTTTGCTCGTTCTAACCCTTTATATTCTTCTACAGATGAAAACATGAAAACAGTCCAGATCAGACTAAGAACTGAAGCACCAGCTTATCAATGTTTTAATAACGGAAACTGACAGCTATCAAAACATTTTCTTCATCTGCTGCTTCTTTGATTTACTGAAGATCATGAAATCTACCTGCAGCAGAGAAAATATTCTAGATGTGTCTGACAGAGCTGGAAGTTGAGGGATTCCAGTTCGGGTCCATTTTTTCCTTTGGGAATCATCTCTCTGCTTCCCTGGAGCCCAGACAACACTGGCATCCAGTTTGGATAGTTTACAGTGGAAACTGTGGTTTTGGGTCTGCAGCTTATTTGATCCATTAAATGAAATCCATCAGACAAGCCTGGAAAACATGTTTAATACTGAGACTCTTCCAACTCCACCACTATATGGGTTTATTGTGTGAATATATGAGCTCTTTGTGTAGAAGTCAGCTTACACAAGACACATTTGAAAAAAATGTTTTTTATTAAAAACGATACAGAAACAAACATATATATATATATATAAATAATCAATACATTCTACGTTTTATTCCAAATGTTTCTCCTGCATTTAATCAACCTGTTCTTTATATTTTCAGGCTGTTTGCATGAGTTCATTCAGCTGCAGCTAAAAGGTAAAGTTAGATGATCAGGGAGCAACAGTCCTGCAGGACTTGGATACAGCATGTAGAAAAATGACCTGCATCTGCACTGCACCGTATGAAAGCCTCGTTCAACCTCCTCAAACAGGAAATGAAAACAATGAAATCAATATTTTGGCAAAGCAAAGATGTTTGAAACTTTTCAGGACTTTGGCCTTGGAGCAATAAACTCCACATCTGTGTGCCTCTCATTTCACTGCTGGACTCTTCCAGAAACCAGCAGACAATTTCCACAACTGTCCATATTTATATTGAGCTTTCTAAGAGATTTTATACACTTTATACATATTTTGGAGGGAGTCAGTTGGAACACCACTGTTCATGCTTTAGAAAATATTTGCTTTTTCCATCTTGTTAAAGAAAATCAGGCATAATATTGGCCAGCACCTGTTCTGCTCTCTAAAGAAAAAGAGCTTAAAGAACCAATATGCTCAATTGAGTTAAACATCCTACAGTTTGGTTTAAAAAAAAAATGTAATAAAAAATGAAATAAAAAAAAAACTCTTTGAATTTATTTTTTTTTTTTAGCTTCTTGGTTTGGAAAATGTAAAAAAAAATAAATCCTTTATTGTCCCACAATGTCTGCATTTAACCCTTTAAGCCTTTGGGGGGCAGTGGGCTGCCATTGTGTGGCGTCCAGGGAGCAGGGTCTTGCTCATGGACCCAGAGTGACCGGCTGATTGAATGAGTTGGACTTGAACTCAGAACCTATCGGAGGCCAAACCCAATTTTCAACCACTAGGCCACCATTGCCTCTAATAAAACCCTCGGCAGAAATGCTAGCAGGCAGCTAGCTGCGTGCCGTTAGCTGCAGGCAGCTAGCTGAGTGCCATTAGCTGCAGGCAGCTAGCTGCGTGCCGTTAGCATCAGAAGAAGAGGAAGTCTGCTTTACACTTCAGTTGGAGGAAAATGGGAGTAAAAAAAAGACCACTGACCGTAGAAAGTTTGTACTGTTAAAGAAAAATGATTATTTTTAGTTTTTAATACAGTTAATCTTATGGCATGTGTAAAAGGTATGTTGAGAACATATTTCTTAATTTTGAACAAGTTTGTGAAGATAACCTTTCCTTGAACCAAATTACTGAATTTAAGTTTGTTCCTGAGAATTTATGGTAGGAGAGGCCCCGCATTCCACAGCTGTCTGTGAAATCTTATCTTAGCCAGATGACCTTAAGAATTCTAGAGGCCAAGACAAGACAAGCTTTCCGCTTTTTCTTGTTAAAACAAAGAAGCAAATGACCCCAGATGTTTGCTGTAAATTGGGGGAAGTTCTAAGTTTTTCTGAGTGTCCAAGATAGCTCCTGGTTGGAGGAGCAAAAGCCAGCCTTATTTGAATAAATTAAATACAAGAGGATAAAACTTTCTACACAGAAGTAACAAATCAGATTTGCTCTTGCAACTCTCCAAAGATGTCTTTGTACGTTTTTGCTTTCTTTCCTTCTCTCCATTTAGGTCAGGTAATTGAATGTATGTCTCCGTTGTTCTGCAGTTTCTGGTGTAAGTTTGTGCATTGTCTTATTTCTAAGTTTATGCATTGTCTTATATTGGATTAAACTCTGTAATTCTGTGACGTCAACACGCATTGCTGGTTTTCCTTGGGGCCACACGCAGCTCGCCGGGAGGGCCAGGGACCAGAGGAAGAGAGACAGTAAACCTTTTTCAAAGTTAACTATTTAAGAATATTTTCTTCTTTAACAGCACGTAAATTTCTCCTGTGCAAAAAGCAAAAGAGGAAAAGCTCCATCGGATCTGCTACACAATCAATGTGTAATTATTGTTCTGTCAGCATCAAACCTGTCACATATTCTAAAGTACTAAGAAGCAGAGCTGCATGACGACTGGTTTAGAGGATAGCTGCAACATCATGCTGCACTAGTAGGTCAGTAAATTAAATGAAACATTTGGTCATGAGGAGAGAAAATAACATTTGCAGGCAACAGAAAAGAGAAAAACAGTAAAACAGTATGAACTGACATTTCATTTTCAGTTACAGTTTCCTAGAGGACTGTATGGTCAACATGGAGGGGGTGGGACATTGAATCACTGCCAGTTAAAGTGTGAATGTGGAGGATGATGGTATCTTCTTTACCAACCCCCCCTTTCACTTCCTGCCTGTCAGCAAACATGAACAAATGAGACCAAAGACCTTTGGATAAATAACACCTTCCAGGGAGCCAGCTTCCCATGATTTAACAAAAAATAAAATATATCTAAGTTGAGTTTTTCCAGCTCTAACATCACTGTAGCACTGGTTCTTGATAAATAGGGAGGAGGCATGTTCGCTATAGTTGTACAAATGCTCTCCTTACAGTTCCCTGATGAGGAAGTCCTGTACATGTTCTGGTTTTTACAGCACTGGGTAACAAGCTCCGGGTCCAGCTGCTTTAAGCCCCACCCATGCTTTTTCTACCCCCAGCTGAGGGCAACAAGTTCCTTTCTTGTGGATCACAGCCCGTTTACCATTTCCCAGGGATTGGCGTTCCACATTCATACCAGGAGACGTAGTTGATGTGGGAATGTCCACCTATCAGTCCAAAGTTGACGGGCTCCTGGCGCAAAGCTCTAAAGAAACCTGAACCAGGAGGAAAAGACGGGAGAGTTACAGACAAGGCTCTGCAAAGAAGAACAGTTTGCCAAATCTGTGCTTCAGAAGATCGACCGGATCCTGCTCTGAACTTCTGGCTCTGAAACGGTGCTGATCAAAGTAATTTATATCCCATCAGAGAGCAATAAACGCTGTTCTGGTGCTGCAGTTCTGAAGCTTGATAATTACCATTCCTGGAGGGGAGCTGGTCCGCTCTGAGCTGTCTGCCTGTTCGCCCATCCAGGAAGGAATCCACAAACTGACAGTGGTCCTCACCAAAGCCGCTCTGATCACCAATGTTGTGGAATTCACCTTTGACCCAAAACATGAAGTGAGAAGGTCAGGACCAGACCGACCTGCCCAGTCCATCTGCTCCACCTATTTTAAATCAGCTCTCACCGTTCAGTGTTTCGCCCAGATAGATCTTGTACCTCAGCGAGTTACACAGTTGGACTCCCACAAACTTGCGGTACCAGGTCCTCTTCACGTACTGCTTGCCGTGGCAGTCAGAGTACGAGTCCGTCTTGAAAGGGAACTGAGTCCAGATGGCATCTTTTCCTGCATGGAAAACCATATGAGGTCTGCATATCAAGCCGAGACATGAAGAAGCAGCAGAGTGGAGAAGAAACCTACCTGAGACGTTCTCGCTCACGCGCGGATCGGCTGCACAAAGAAAACGATTTCCATATTAATATATTCCAGGACTACTGGACTGAGAAACAAGGAAAAACAATCATCAAAGTCCTTCAACGATTAACCCCTGAGAGACTTTGGGACTGGCTGCTTTCCTTCACTCAGACCTCTACGTGTTTAATACGATCCATAATGAATATCTGAGCTGCAGTGAAGCCAACACAGCCAACAGGAAGGGCCTTCATGGCCCATTTGTCATTTGATGGATTGTTTATTTCAGCAGCCCCAGGCAGGCAGTTGTTCAGATTACTCAAGAATATGGATTTCTTGGACCGATCAGTTCATTTATTTATCTGAACTTGGTGTTCATTTTAATTTTAAGTAGCTACAGCTGTGCGGAGACAGGAGTCGGTCTGACAGGAGCTGCATGGGTTTAACTCTGATGATGGGAGAAACTGACCAGACTCTGTGTTGAAGGACACTGGTTCGCTCAGCGGACCTTCTCCCAGCTCGTTCTTCGGCTTCACCTTGAACTCATAACTAAGGAGAGGAGAGAGTGAAAGCTGCTTTAGAAACATTAATTTAGTCGTTTTGAAACTCAGTTCAAGTCTTTGCAGCACAGAAATGGAAACTTTTCGTATTTTGGGGATTTCTGGTATTTGCTTTTCTTGCTCTCTGACCCAAACTGAGCCTAAAGTGAACCAGACCTGCCCTCAAACACGTACAGCAGAACCCACATCTAGAACCTGCAGACCAGAAACACCCAGGTTGAAGCTAACAGAACCTTCTAACTCTTTCACTAACAGCCTCCTACAGTCTCAGTTCATTCATTAGATCTTCATCGTTTGACCATCTGTAGACAGGAACCTTTGCAACTCCATCTGCTGACAGATCCGTCTTCATGGGTCATTGGGACAGCTGAACTACCTCAGAATTATAACCTTCTGCAGAATGAGCCTGGCCAAAGCAAGGCCAGATAACTGAAATACCTGCTCTCAGGATTGAGGTTCTCCACTGCAGTGTGAGTCTGGTTGGTAGTTAGGATGGAAACCCGTTCTCCATCTGGTCCTTTGGCAGTGGAAATGACCTCATATTCTGCAGAAAGGACAATAGACTTGCTGTTTGTTGCGTAACATTCAGCACCTCACCGTAGGCAGTTAATGATGACCTACCGGTGGTGTGGTTGTCGGGTTTCTCCCAGTCCAGGATGATGAAGGAAGGACATCCCTCCACCGTCACCACAGTGAGGTTGGAAGGTGGATTCCTTGGAGGAGATGTCACATTCACCTCTCCAGGCTCATCTTCAGGGAAGTAGTTAAGGGAGGAGGTGATGGAGCACGGTTCATCAGGCTTCTTACCGGTTTTGTAGACCACATGAGGAGCTGTGGATAGAAGATTATTTCATTCAGGGAATAAAACTTTACAGGAAGTTTGTTCCCACAAGTCAGTGCTTGGAACAGAAGGAACAAGTTGGGCTTATTTCTGCTTACCCACATAACGCTTCTTTCCCAGCGCATCAACATCAGACGTTGGTTGCGACTTGAAAAGGTCAGAATCCTCCCAGCTTTCCTGTCGAGTCACTAAAGAAAGGAATGTTGTAACAGGTGAGGAAATAAACTTGATAATGGCACCAGCTGCTAAAACAAAGCTCCACCCACAAACTTTCAACTTCCGGATCATTCCGCCCTGATTATTTACCGGCTGTTGGTGCCGCAGTACTGATTGTTTGTCTGCGTTCCTGTTTTGTTGGTTTGGTCGTTCCAGCTTGGACTTTAACTTTCAGGGTTTCCGGGTTTCCACTTTTCTCCGGGCGGTTCACCTTGTCTGAAGAAAACTGGATTATAAAGGTGTCTAAACATAAGTGTGAAATGAGAATGCTAAGATTTACAGGTTTTTACCAGTTTCTCCAGGTTTTCTTACATCGTTTGGCCTGCTGTTGAGAGCTGTGCGAACAGAAGACCCTAAAACAAGCAGAATATGGTTGATCTACTCAAGTTCTGTCTTTGAACTTTGAACCATTAACGACTTTCTGTAAATGCAAAAAATAAAACAAAGCTGCTCTTTTCTTTTTGATGGAAACCATTGGTCCAGTTCCTCTACCCGAGTAAGATTGTGTGCTTTTATGTGTTTTTGAAGTGGTGCAAGGCAGAAATGAGAGCCAGGCCGAAGTTTTGGCTTCTGAGGAAATTCTGTCTTCATAAAACAAAACATGTATCCAGGTTCTCTTTAATCTCCTGGGAAAATGTATGTTTAACCAATACAGAGTTCTGTTCTGACTCCCCAAAGCCAAATGGACCTTAAAACATGAACAATCCACTCTATATTCACAAGCCGGTATATGTTTTTCATTGCAAGGTCCAGAACCTGCAACCAATTACACCCCTTTCCTCCATTTAAGAAGAAGCCAGAATTCCTCACAATCAGGGAATTGAACGTCTTCCAAAGCTAAATGGCATAAATGCAAAACCAGAAACATGAAAGACGACGGAGTGATTTTAGCTTGTAACTTGAAACAATGCAGAGGCATGCCTTCCAATCAGCTCCATGTAAATATGACAGAGGAATGTTTGCAGTCTCAGTAGTTTGATTTCTAAGAACTCTCCTGCTTTCTTCACTAAACTTATGTTATTTTTGGGCATAAAGCAGAACGTTTGCCAGTAGAAGAAGGAACCAATAAATGCAGAGCAGATTATAACTGGACGGTCTGAATGGAAACTTCTGTAATTATGTTTTCTGCTCATGATTACAATGTGAGACCAAGTGAAATAAAGGTCTGCATGAATTTTTCATTGTTTCACACACAAAGATACTCATACACCAACTGCTGTTTCCACATCACTATGGATAGTGATCAGTGCACACATGCAGTCGTTTCTATCCACATCATCTTTACAGCATCGTGTCTTCCGCCAAGCGAGCTCAAACTCAAGCAAAAAGCATTAAAATAACACCGCAGGTCTGGGTGAAGGTACCAGGTGCATGGCAGGCTAGCTAGAAGCAGTTTAAACATCAGAGGCGTGAAACAGAACAAAGCCCCACAGAGCAAGCTTCTTGAAAATAAGCAAACTGTCAGCTGAGTTCATATTTTCCAAGAACAAAGTATTTTCCACAAGCTGTGCCGAGGTCTTTGGCTGGAGCTTCTTTCCCTCACTGGTCCCATGTGAGGTTTGCTTCTTGATCCGAAACAGCATCAAACCATGCGGTGCTGGCTGATTGGAGCAGCTAAAGCAGGCAGCAGAGTTATGGGTGAAGACAGGCGGGATTCATGCTGCTACCAACCATGATGCTGCTCCTCCATGGAAGCACGTGAACGACCAAACACAGAAGGAATGCCAGGCTTCCGGTTCTCCGTCACCGAGTTGTTGACTGCAGCAGGAAAGGTAGTGCAACTGAAACATGACTGTTTGGACTTTTCTTCTTTCAGTAAAATGAGCCTGAATATTCCAGCCATGTGCAGAACCAATGTTTACATCTTTATGCTTTAAACAGGTCCCAGATCAATGGTTTGGATGCACCAACAGATCTTAGTTAAAGCTAACCCCCCCCCCCCCCCCCCCCCCCCCC